ACACAGTAGGCAGTCAATATATATTTGTTGAATGACTCAAGGCAAGAAGGAAGGGAAGGAGGGCTTCAGAATGGTGCATTAAAAAAATAAGAATGTGAATTATTTCCCCCAATAAATATGTATTGAGTATTTATTCTAAAAGTAATCTGCCTACAACATTCATATAAAATGTCTTTCAAAATGCTGCATAATTTCTAGATTCATGTATCTTTGCACAGAATGTTCTGGAATAAACTAGAAATTGAAGCATTATATGAAATATACTCTGGAACCTAAGATAATTACAGGTCTGGAGACCTTTATTTGGAATTCCAAAATCTAAAAGCTTCTGAAAATCAAAAGGTTTTGGAGGAAACTCTAACCTGAACTGATGTTAGCTAGTTTATTTACACACTTTATTTACATTAGTTAGGTATAACTAAATATACACTTCACTGAGAAATACTAATATTTTTGGAGGCACTGGTCCAGGCCCCAAAAATGCTGTTACATAATATGTTCTTAACTTTCTAAAATCTGAAAAATTCCAAATATATTCAGCTTCAAAGTTCTTAAAAAGATATTGTGTATTTGTATAAAACTCCCTTTCAAAAACTAGAAAGAAGCTATGAGAATAATGATTTGATCAATAATAGAAGTAGGATTCAGTTGTCACCAATCTAAGTAACATGTTTTTAAATACATTTACTATGAAGAAAACAATTAGGATTAGAATATAGTCATAAACTTTTGATTTTCCTGTTATTATTAATTAATTAATTAATTTTTGAGACAGGGTCTTGCTCTGTTGCTCAGGTTGGAGTGCAGATCACAGTTCACCACAGCCTTTATCTCTCAGGCTCAGGTGATCCTCCTGCCTTAGCCTCCCGAATAGCTGGAACCACAGGCGCGTGCTACCATGCCTCACTAATTTTTAAAAAAATATTTGTAGAGACAGGGTCTCCCTAGGTTGTCCAAGATGGTCTTGAACTTCCGGGCTCGAGCTATTCTGCTGCAGTGTCCCAAGTGCTGCGACTGCAGGCATGAGCAACCGTGCCCAGATGGTTTTTTTCTATTATTTACAAAGGGAATGAAAACATATTTTGAATCTTTTGTTTTTAAAGCTTAAGATTCTGAACTTACCCTTTCACTTTTCACAGAACCCGTGACATCATCATCATTGAGGTGGCGCTTAAACTTGGGAGGCATATTTTTTACTTGCGAAGTATTTTCTACTTCTCAACAGGATAATCACTGCCTTAAAGAGAAAATAAATTTCATCAGATTTGAGACTTCGGGGTATAAGCTAAAGTACTTAAAACAATATACACAAGACCCTGTATAATGGTGACTCCCTCATTTTTCTGACTTCAGTTCCTCCCCTCTCACTTGTTCCATTCCAGTGAATGGGGCCTCCATGCTAGACCTCAACACATAAGAAATAGTTAAAACTATGAGAAAATGGATGTAATTGCCCTAAGAGAACATGTGTAGGATATGAGTGACTTAAGATAGATTTTTATAAAATGAAAGAGCAGACAGTAGAGGGAAGATGTCTCACTGAGACATTAAATGCTTTACAATTTAAATTTAGAGTCAGAAGACAGGATAACATGTCTATTTCTCTCACTTTTAGTTGGCTGCTTAAACAATGATTCAGTTTCCTCATGTGTAAAATAGTGATTTTCAGGCTTCGGCAGAGTTGGGATGGTCAAATTGGATAATACATGCAAAAATATTCTGCAAACTATAATGTCCCATTGGTACTCCATAAAAAGGGGTAAGTTTGGTAAGTACTGTGTGATATTGTGATTTATAAAATATATATATATATATTTGGTTTTAATCCCCATTTCCTGACATATCCTTGGAATCCCTGCAGTGATGTGTCTTGTGTATGCTAGTAAGATGGCTGGTAGCTTAGCCCCCAGATAGATTCAAGATGGAGGCTGGTCACAGAAAAACCTAGGCATGATTATAAGACTGTGGCTTTTCAGCCCCACCCCCTAGCTTCCTGGGAGGGGAGGAGGGCTCCAGGTTGAACTGATTTCCAATGGCCAATGATGTAATCAATCATGCCTAGTAATGAAGACTCCATAAAACCCAAAAAGGACAGGGTTCAGAGAGCTTCCTGAAAGCTGAACAAGTAGAGGGTTCCTGGACGGTGGCACACCTGGAGAGGGCACGGAAGCTCTGTACCCCTTGCCCTATGCACCTCTTCCATCTGGCTGTTGATCTCTATCCTTTATAATAAACCAGAACAAAGTGTTTCTCTGAATTCTGTGAGCCACTCTAGCAAATAAATGGAACACAAGGAAGGGATTGTGGGAACTATGATTTATAGCCAGTCAGTTGGAAGCACAGGTAAAACAACCTGGAACTTGTGACTGGCACCTGAAGGGGGGAATCTTGTAGGATTAAGCCCTCAACCTGCAGGATCTGATGCTATCTCTAGGTATACAGTATCAGAATTGAATGAGAGAACACCCAGCTGGAGAACCTGCTGCAGAACTGCCTGCTTGCTCGTGAGGAGAAGTCTTTTTGGGGTCACAGGAGTATTCTGTGTTGAGAGAGAATAGGAGAAACTCAATTTTTCTTCTATCAAAACAACTAGATTAAACAAAACTAGTTTTCTTTGCTACAGAATGACTCACATCCTGTTATATGCTAATATGCATTGTGATTTTCCAGGAAAATGCTTGTGTATGCAACATATTAAAAATTTTTTTTGAGAAAAAGTTGTTCTATGCAAATAATGAATTTTCAGTATTTTTGACTAGATGGTAGATGAATACTCAGCAATTCAGGACAGCTCAGAAATAATGTTATACTGTGTGCTAGGCACTGTGCTCAGTGATACGCATGCATTTTCTTTTACTCTTTATGACCCTTCTTTGAAGTAGGCACCAAGAAACTAGGAGAAAACTAAAGTTTAGTAACGATAACGTTAGTCACTACACTCATTGAAACAGCAGAGATACAGGCCTAAATTAATCAATGGCTGTGCATTATCAGTTTTAACTGTTTTTTTCAATTAGTTGCTCATCAGGTTTACAGAATTCTGTTCTAGAAAGACCCACTTCCTGGTAACAACCCAATAGTCCTGTTTCCTTCTCCACAAGAAGAAACACAGTCCTTTAAATTAGGTATAGTTAGATATCAGTTTGTTGGTTAATGATATACACTTAAAAAAGAATAATCCCAGAATCATGTTTCATGAACCAAATAAAAGTAATATTTTAAGTCAGCTGCTTGTCAAAACAAACGGACACAAACACTTTTCTTTGGTAAGAAATGCTTCCAAATCAGAAATTATTCACTTGTAACAAAAACCAAACTCTTGCTGCCTAACAGCTCTTGAGTTCTTGGTTCCACAATATTTCTGTCACATACATCTGGCCCTTTTATTCCTCATACTTTGATTTCAGAATACTTAATTCTTGCAGAAATGTAACAGAATGCATGGAAAAACAGATGACAAGGCAAATTACTGAAGAACTTGTGCTTTTAACTATATCTGTATTTAGATTTTAACCCCTGCAAAGAGGCTCCCTCAACATCTCAAAGCAAACAACAGGCTGACTTATATAATGCCTTTATGAGACATAGGGTAAAACTACAATCTTAAGGAGGAGCAAACCCCATATTCAGGTCTCTTAATCCCAGGAAACCATGTGCAACAAATAGAAAGCCCATCAGCAAAGCAGTAGGCAGATTAATTAGCTACCTTGATGAACTTTGACGTTATTTGCAACTGGTGATTATTAGTAACTCATGACATGTGTATCAAACAACTAGTAGAAATGAATCATGCTCAGAAAGTAGACAAGGATATAGTCCGCCTAAGATTCTCCTACAAAAAAGACATGTGAATTCAGGTGTTTGTGACTAGGTATACATGTAAATAAGAGAGCCATCATGTACTTCCACATTGAGGATAGACCACCACTATAAAATTCACTTAAAAAAGTCACATCACCGTATGCTTCTTATACATCGGCATATACTTAAATGTCTATGTATGCATTTTTGTAAGTAGTACGTTATCTAGTCAACAGCTTTGAATCTGGGCAGAGGCTCTCCTTTTCCCAGCCTCCATTCCCTTTCTGACTCGTCTTCCTTGTCTGTCATCAGCCGTCTTGCTTGATGCAGTTTCACAGAAATAAAGTGACTTGGATGGACACAAACCGGAGATGTCATTTGCAAAACCTGTCAAGTATAACGATTCACCCCCACCTTCCGGTCATTATAAACACAGCAGGGTTGGCGCTCTTTCTCCTGAGCCCTTTAAATACACAATTCCAGGCAGCTCCGTTCACCCCCCACACCCAATCTGTCGCACCAGGCCACGTCCCTGGATATATCTGCTCCTAACACTGGCCCTTCCTGCCCCACGGTACCCCCTGGCATTCCTGACTGCATCCCACTCTTAACAAACCTTCCCCATCGATGGCACTGTTTTCTTCCCATCACCCAGAGTTCCCCTCCATTCCAATTCTTCTCTTCCTCAACTGCTCCCCGTCCGCACACCCCTGTCCTCGTCTTCCTTCCTCACGACACCCCGGGCCCCAGCCTTTTCCCACTCCGGGGTCCCTTCCTAGATGCCGGAGGCCTGCCGATCAGCCCGACTAGGACGTCGGGGGGCGGCGAGGCAGGGCGTCGTCTTCGTTTCCTTCCTCCTCACACCAGCCCCTCCCGCTGGGAACAGGCCAGCGCCAGTACCTGAGGCTCCCGGGGAACTCCCGGCAGCTCTCCCGGGCTGGCGGTGCTGGGCGGGCGGTGCTGGGCGGGCGGGGGAAGGAGTGGGAAGCCGAGGTAAAAAGCTGGGAGGGGGAGACAGTGGGTGCAGACCCGGCGTCGGCCGCAGCGCCGCAGCAGCGCCTCCGCTCATCGAGCCAATCGGCGCTCGGCGACCTGGCGCCAGGCGGAGAGGGCGGGTCCAGGGCACGGAGATAGTCGAGGAAGTCGATTCCGCCGAACGCGCTTCGCTTAAAAGAGCCCGGACCCAGACGCAGTTTAGGTGCAGCTTTCCAAGGTTATGCTGTGCTTTAGGGGAGGAACGACCACCGGTTCTCCAGGTTCCGGTCGCGATCCGGTGGATCTGCTTCGGGTTCGTCTGGGGCCTTTTCTGAAGAAAGTAGATCTGTTCGATCCCCTGTTTACAGAATTAGCTAGACTTGGAAAGAGATGTTAGGGGTTCCTAGGCCAGGCTCCTCCCTTTAGATAGGAGGAATATCTGGTTCAGAGAGGAGGTTGACTTAAAGTTACACAGCTAGTTTAGACAGATGCGGAACGAGGGCTCGGTGTTCTTTTCCCGGTATCCCTTAGTTGTAACCTGAAAGCCTTCAGGTTTCAGGGAAATCGCCCTTGCCAGGCCATTCCGCCACTCTGCCCATTCCTCCCTCACTCCCTCCCCCTCCACCCAATTTGGTATCATGTTTAGATCTCCAAGCCCGCAGTAGCTGGCTACCAAAAACAATTCCTAATTTTGTTTTTCCGTTCTCTTATTTGTTTTATTATCCATTCCTCCCACGCCCCAGCTGGATTATTTTACTCATTGAATCATATTCACTACACATCTTTTAAAATGAATACAGTGTCTATGGGTCCTTTGTTGATAGAGTATTTTAACTGTCTGAAATGCTTTGCCAGGCACTTTCTAAAGATATAAAAATAAGAGGGGGTGTTCAAGAACAAGAGTAGACAAAACAGCAGGAGGAAAGATCTGAGGACACTAAAGGAAAGGAAAGAATAGACACCCTCTTACCAAAAAGTTACTCTTCGATTTTTTTTTTTTAATGTAAAACTGTACTAACGAAATTGAAAAATGCCATGACTAAGGCAATGATGCTCAACTCTGATTCACTTGGAGTTGAATCACTTGGAAAGCTTTTAAAACTGCGTAGGTGCCCACGTGTTACCTAGATTCTGATTTAAATGGTCTGAGATTTAGAAACAGCCGTTGGGTTGTCAGTTGAAGGTTCGAAGCTTGATGCTAAACTCAGTTGCCTGTGTTTATGCCAAGTTGCTGACTTGGACTGAAACGGCGCACTTAGAAACCTCTCATGGTTTGTATCTCTGTCTAGGCGTGATAGTGGGACTACCCCCAGACTGCACAGGTAACCCAGACATCATTTTTCCTTTTACAGCTGATTTTTTCTTTTGAGACGAGTTATCACTTCTTCCCCCAGGCTGGAGTGCGGTGACACAATCATACCTCACAGCAGCTGTGAACTCCTGGTCTAAAGTGATCTTCCTGCCTCTGCCTCCCAAGTAGTTGGAATTACAGGCACAAGCAGCTGTGCCCAGCACTTACAGTTGATTTTATGTCTGTATATTTGCATGTTATAGGATATTTTCTGGCTTTGGTGCCTTAGCCAGTTGGAGCTTTAGCTAGTTATAGCCTCGTCTCTTGTGCATAGACAACTTAAGGTGTGGTCAGTGAGCTCCAACAGCACGTCATTGCATAGCTTTTATGGATAATCCTTTCTTTGGGTTTCTTTGTTTTTTAACCATAATTCTTTAGTCCCACCAGTCATTTTGGAATGGTCACTTAGGAGAGGGGTAATGCAAGTCCCACCCTTTAATCACCTGAACAAAGTCCCTTTGACTATCCCCAATATTTGCGAAACTTAGAAAATGTCATTTTACAGTTAACATGAATCAAATATACCAGTAAGCCTAAAAGATTATAAGTAGCACTGAGCTTAGAATCAGAACTCCAAATAAGTAACTCAATAAGCAACTTGAGTTACTTATTTCCTCCATTTTCTTTTTAGTGAGCTTCAGTTATTCAGATGTTAGTCCTCTAATTTTCTTTTCCCCTTTTGCAACATGACACCTTCATCCTTAAGAGTGTCTGCTGTCCTCCGAGCTAGAGAATCAGCGTTTTGCTTATTCTCCCAAGACTAAATCTCTGGGCTTTTGATGGGATAACAAAGGGAATCTGAGCATCTGATTCATTCTTAAACAGACTTTCTACCATTCCCCCTTTATTTCTAGCTCACATCATGCTCTCTTCAGCTTTACCCGGTGCTTCCAATTCCTGAGCCTTGTGCAGGGTTTCACTGTGTGCATCAGGTTGCTTCATGGCCTGCTTGGAATTCCTACTTTTCAAGTCTGCTAAGGTAATTGCTTCTTGATTCATCTCCCTTCTAGCTTTCAATATTTAGTTGCTAAACGTTCAACATTACTTAAAATGTAAAAGTAAACAAGGAAATACCATTTTTCCTCGATCAGTGACTGAGAAAGGAGTTGAGCAGAAGATCTTCAATCCAGTCTCTCCCCTGGTAGGGAAATACTCTCAGGAAAGCAAGCAAGCGAGCGTGTGATTTTTATAAATATGGTAATTACAGACCTCCTGGCAAACAGACCAGTGGTATTTGCTAGCTGAAGAGTCCATATTTATGGAATTCCTCTATCAAGATGTCCAGGAGTGTCCTGGGATTGTTTATGATAAACACATTAAGAATTGATCTGGTAATCGCAGCACTTTGGGAAGCTGAGGCAGGCAGATCACTTGAGGTCAGGACTTACCAGCCAGGCCAACATGGTACAACCCCATCTCTACCAAAAATACAAAAACTGGCTGGGTGTGGGGGCATACACTTGTAATCCCATCTGCTCAGGAGGCTGAGGCAGGAGACTCGCTTGCACCGGAGAGGCAGAGGTTGCAGTGAGCAGAGAGCGCGCCACCGCACTCCAGCCTGGTAGACAGAGCGAGACTCCCTCTCACAAAACGAAACAGAATCAATGTGGATTTCAGGGGTACGATTAACTGGAAAATACCGCGGAAGTTATATAACTTAGCGTAAAATGGAAGTGTTTTGTAACTGAGTTGGCTCCTTCTGTGTAAGTGGGATGACTATACGCTTGATTTAGAAACCACATCTGTCCTGGGCCAGGATGCATCCAAAGCAAGAAGAAAGGACCTGGGAATTACTGGTGGTCTTGAAATTATTACTAAGGCTTGATACTGAGTAAAATCTCTGATTTGACAGTTTGATCCTTTGTGTCAGCTCAGTGACAAAAATAAAAAAATTGATACTACAGTATTGGGGGGTTGTGTGTGTGTGTGTAGTATGAGAGCAGGGTGGGAGGAACAAGCATTCTTAAACACTTAGTAGGAGTATAAAAATTGGTGCATTTTTTAAAAGTTCACGGTAATTTATGTATCAAAACTGTATATGAAGTTCCTTTTGATCTAACAATTTTACTTCTAAAATTTATCCCATGGGTATACAGGTTGTATATAAAAGTATTCTATAAAAATATCTGTTACAGGATTTTTGTAATAGAGTGAAAAAAAAAACCTCTTAACTGTTCAGCAATAGGAAATTGCTGAAATAAGTCATAATGTAACCATTCAATAGAATAGTATGCAGCCATTAAAATAAACTAGATAGATCTATATGTGCTCACATGGAATACCTGTATGATGCTATAAGGTGAGAAAAGTAAGGTGCAAAATAATCTGTAGACTCTACTTCCATTTGAGCATCACACACACACACACACACACACACATCAGTAGGACGGTGATTCTGGCATGGAAAGTATTACGGACTGAATTATATCCCCTCAAAATTCATATGTTGAAGTCCTAACTTCCAGTGTGACTAGATTTGGAGATAGGGCCTTTAGGACAATAATTAAGGTTAAATGAAGTCAGAAGGGCAAAACCCTAATCCTATGGAGCTAGTGTCTGAGTGCATGGGCACAGAGAATAGGCCATATGAGAACACAGAAGATGGCCATTTGCAGTCCAGAAAGAGAGGCCACACCGTAAACCAAGCCTGATGGCCCCTTGATCCTGGACTTTTAGCCTCTAGTACTGTGAGAAAATAAATTTCTGTAATTAAGCCACCTAGTCCATAGTATTTCATTATAGCAGCCCTAGAAGACTAATACAGAAGGGAAACTTTCTTGATGTGTAGTGTTTTGTACCATTCGAGTATCTTTACCATGTATAGCACTTTTTCAATTAAAACAATAGTAGAGGCACTCTCTTCCCCTAAAATTGGGACCAATTGATCAGTTAATTTAAAAAGTCAGTTATAGTGGTACATATTTTAAAATGGCAAATATATACTTTAGTCATTTTATTTTGACTCAAATGTATAATTATATGTTCACTCACCAGTCTTGGTAGTAGGCCCAAGACCTTTTATCTGAGCATGAGTTTGCTGGTTGGAACAATTTGTCTTTGTTACAATTTGCATTGTTTCCAGTTTCCAGTTTCATTTTCTTCAAAGTGGAACAAGAAGTTAAAGACACCTTTCAAGCAGTTTGAATGCCCAGTCAGTCTAGATTTTTGTACAATTTTTTCTCCAAAGTTTTACAGATTTGCCTTACCTATGCCTAGTTCTACAGTAATTTTTGTTTGTTGTTCATGTTAATCAACTTAGTTTTTATAGAAAATAACTTTCGATTTGTATTTCATTAGAAATCTATTTACATATTTAAATAGATTCTATAAGTATAATAGACATAAATACTTTGGAGTACAAATGCAAATTTTTTTTTTTTTTTGAGACGGAGTCTCGCTTTGTCGCCCAGGCTGGAGTGCAGTGGCGCAATCTCGGCTCACTGCAAGCTCCGCCTCCCGGGTTCACGCCATTCTCCGGCCTCAGCCTCCCGAGTAGCTGGGACTACAGGCGCCCGCCACTGCGCCCGGCTAATTTTTTCTATTTTTAGTAGAGACGGGGTTTCACCATGGTCTCGATCTCCTGACCGTGTGATCCGCCCGCCTCGGCCTTCCAAAGTGCTGGGATTACAGGCGTGAGCCACCGCGCCCGGCCACAAATGCAAATTGACTCTTGTAAGCATATAACTCAATTAGTTTGGAGAGGAAGTATACAGGTATCATGTAGTTAACCATTATCTTTTCATGCTTAGAGTGCCTTGGTGTTATATAAATATGGTATTAGTTTATTTTAGTTTTGATTTTAAATGCTTTTAAATCCTTTATCCAGATTCATTAATAACACTTTTCTAATGCTGACCTCAACTCCTAAATGGATTTCATGAAAGTGTGAATAAAACCAAAATAGTTCAGCCCTCTTTTTATCTCCAAGCAGATGAAGAAACAGAGTGCCAGAGAGTTTACGTGGTTTGTTAACATTTCACTAAGTTTGCTTTATTACTTCTCTTTAAATATGTATCTCCCCCCAGCATGCATTATTTGAGAATTAGTTATAGATGTCATGCCTCTTTTCCCCTAAATACTTCAGTAGGTATCACCGAGAACAAGAACATTCTCTTCATAACTCTAATTCAGTTGTCAAATTCAGAAAATTTAACATTGATACAATATTATTTTCTATCAAAGCATCCATATCAAAGTTTGCCAGCAGTCTCAGTTATGTCCTTTGCAATGTGAGTATAGTCTACAGAGAGAATGGAGAGTAATGAGTAACAAAGCAAGTGGAATTTAGTTTTTAAGGATAAGTTCAACTATAGTTTAATTATTTTTAATATATATAATAATGTGGGAAATGCCCTGACGCCTTCCTTATGAAACTTTAGATGTGACATTATAAGATGGACTCAGAGAGGTGCTTTGTTTCTCTTCTAACTGTTCCTGTTTATTGATGTAGTGACATGTTGCAAGAATTTTATCTTGGAGAAATTACCTTCCACAAAGATGGCAGCATCAGAAGAACCTGCATAATAATATGCTGTAATTGTGTTATGAATTTATTTTACTACTTCTCTGAAAGTTAAAAATGGTTGCCATTTATTTTCTTGGTTTCACACCTATTTTCTTAAGAACTATGCTTCATGATTAGCATATGTTTCTGCACAAATCCTCTCTGATATCAAGTGTTGTTTTCCTCATTTTATCATTTGGACCTCAAGGTTCTGAGATGACATGTGATTTGTCCAAAGTTAGAGAATGGTACAATTGAGAACACTAGAAAATATTGCAGAGCAATAAGCTTAAATTTAGATAAATATTTTCTCTAAATGAATCACATGCTTTTCCCTTATAATAGAGATTAGGCTGCTGGGCGCAGTGACTCACACCTGTAATCCCAGCACTTTGGGAGGCCGAGGTGTGCAGATTGCCCGAGGTCAGGAGTTCCAGACCAGCCTGGCTAACATGGTGAAACCCCGTTTCTACTAAAAATACAAAAAAAAATTAGCCCAGAGTGGTGGCACACACCTGTAGTCCCAGCTACTCAGGAGGCTGAGGCAGGAGAATTGCTTCAACCCGGGAGGTAGAGGTTGCAGTGAGTGAGCCGAAATCGTGACACTGCACCTGGGTGACAGAGGGAGACTCCGTCTCAAAAAAAAAAAAAAGAGATTAGGCAGTTTTTTCTTAAAGCTTCACATAGGTAGAATCCATCAACCATAATGTCTTGTTATGATCTCACTTAATTCAAGAGGCTTTAGTCGCTCAAGGTAAAATACAACTGTAATTTCTTGCTGAAGATGGTAATATTAATCTTGCGTGAAGACTATACTTTCAGGGATCATTTCTATAGTTTGTTAATCTTGGGTGCTATATCAAAGAGAATCAATTTGTCCATCAGATTTGTGTGACAGGTATTCTGTTAAAGTCTGGGGATACAAAAATGGCAAACCACCTTTACTGTCCTCTAAAAACTTACAAGCTTGCACAGAAAAACAAGAGTAAGCAACTACAGCCATGTGCCACCGAACGACGTTTCAGGCAACAAAGGACTGCATATATGTAAGATTATCATCTGAAAAATTCCACCTAGCGATGTTGTTTCTGTTGTAGTGCCATGGATTACTCAAGTGTTTGTGGTGATGTTGGTGTGAACAAACCTGCCCTGCCAATCTTATAAAAGTATAGTATACACAATTATGTACAGTCTGTGATACTTGATCATAAATGACTCTTACCAGTTCATGTATTTGTTATACTATATATCATTATTTTAGAATATATACAAAATACACTTATACGAAAAGTTAACTGTAAAACAGCCTCAGGCAGGTCTTCGGGAAGCATTCCAGAAGAAAACATTGTTAAATTAGTGTGTGTTAAAACAGTGTGTGTTATTGTTCCTGAAGACCTTCCAGTGGGACAAGATGTGGAGGGAAACAGCAATATTGGTGATCCTGACCCTGTGTAGACCTAGATTAATGGGCATGGCTGTGCCTTAATTTTTAACAAAAAAGTTTAGACAGTAAAAATATATACAATAAAAAAAATTAAAAATAGTAAAAAATGGTCCGGGTGTGGTGGCTCATGCCTGTAATCCCAGCACTTTGGGAGGCCAAGGCGAGTGGATTGCTTGAGCCCAGGAGTTTGAGACTAGCCAGGGGAACATGGTGAGACCCCATTTCTACAAAAAATGTAAAAAGTAGCCAGGCATGGTGGCACACACCTGTAGTTCCAGCTACTCAGGAGGCTGAGGTAGGAGGATTGCTTGATCCTGGGAGGTTGAGGCTGCAGTGGGCCCTGATTGTGCTGCCCTCCAGCCTGGGTGGCAGAGCCAGACTCTGTCTCAAAAAAAAAAAAGAAAAACACAAAAAACAAAAAAAAAGTAAAAATACTAAAAGCTTATAGAGTGAAAATAAAAAAAGTTTTTATACAGCTATACAATGTATTTGTGTTTTAAGCTAAGTGTTATCAGTCAAAAAGTTTAAAAGTTTATAGAGTAAAAAATTACAGTAAGCTAAGGTTAATTTATTGAAGAAAAAGTTTTTAGAAATATATTTAGTGTTACCTAAGTGTACAGTGTTTATCAAGTATACAGTGGTGTACAGTAATGTCCTAGGTCTTCCAGTTCACTCACCACTCACTTACTGACTTGCCCAGAGCAACTTCTGGTCCTGCCAGCTTCATTCAGGAAGTGCCCTATACAAGTGTATCATCTTTAAACCTTTTATACATATTTTTATTGTGCCTTTCCTATGTGTATCTAAACAAATATTATTTATAATTGCCTGCAGTATTCAATACAGTAACATGCTAGACAGGCTTGTAGCCTAGGAGCAATAGGCTATGCCGTATAGCCTAGGTGTGTAGTAGGCTATACCATCTAGGTTTGTGTGCCTACACTCTGTGATGTTTACATCTTTTCCTTCATTCTCTCTCTTTCTTTCTTTCTTTCTTTCTTTCTTTCTTTCTTTCTTTCTTTCTTTCTTCTGTCTGTCTTGTCTTTCTTGTCTTTCTTTCTTGTCTTTCTTTCTTTTCTTTCTTTCCTTCTTTCCTTCTTTCTTTCCTTCTTTCTTTCTTTCCTTCTTTCTTTCCTTCTTTCTTTCTTTCCTTCTTTCCTTCTTTCTTTCTGTCTTGTCTTTCTTGTCTTTCTTTCTTGTCTTTCTTTTCTTTCTTTCCTTCTTTCTTTCCTTCTTTCTTTCTTTCCTTCTTTCTTTCCTTCTTTCTTTCTTTCCTTCTTTCCTTCTTTCTTTCTTTCCTTCTTTCCTTCTTTCCTTCTTTCTTTCTTTCTTCTGTCTGTCTGTCTGTCTTGTCTTTCTTGTCTTTCTTTCTTGTCCTTCCTTCCTTCCTTCCTTCCTTCCTTCCTTCCTTCCTTCCGTCCTTCCGTCCTTCCTTCCTTCCTTCGTCTCACTCTGTCACCAGGCTGGAGTGCAGTGGCGTGATCTTGCCTCACTGCAACCTCGGCCTCCCAGGTTCAAGCAATTCTTCTGCCTCAGCCTCCTGAGTAGCTGGGACTACAGGCGCCTGCCACCAAGCCCAGCTAATTTTTTGTATTTTTAGTAGAGACGGGGCTTCACCATGTTGGCTAGGATGGTCTCCATCTCTTGATCTCATGATCCACCCCCCTCGGCCTCCCAAAGGACTGGCATTATAGATGTGAGCCACCGCAGCTGGCCTTCTTTCTTTTTCTTTTATAAATGAACATGCTTTAACATTTACTTATGAGTCATGGCTCACATGTATAGCAAGAAAGGGTTTGGTAAACAGGGAAATTCTCAGAATAGTCGGGATGAATACGAAAAGGACCATAATGATGAAGTACAGGCAGTACACTCCATCTCAGAACAGTCACCAGCCACCAAGGAATTCCCTGATCATCTGAATGGGACTGAAAACAATCCAGTGAGTCCCCAGAGGCTCCTGCTCATTGACTCTTTTACAGTAGATGACACGCAGAAAAATAGCTAAAAATAGAGGCCCAAAGTAACTAGCCATTGACCCTGTGTAATGGAAGAGTGACCCATTTGGAGGTATCTGTACCAATGAAACCCAAACAATGTGGTTGAGCATTATAAGGATGATAACCTTTAGGCCTAGGTGCCCAGTTTATCCCACTCAATGTAGGAACTGTGAAGCAGGGGGGATTCCATGTGAAGGGGAGAATAGCAGAGCTTCTGTTTCTCTCTTAGCCAATTGGGAAGGCTGTACAAATCAGGGTCGATCATCCCTGGTCTCCCCCTGAGAAACATGGGCAGCAGCTTTAGGTGGCCACAGAGGATGCAGGCAGCCTTCTTAAAAGAATTCTCCATGCTTGATAGGCAGTGCTGAGCAATAACATCAGTGCCAGAATTTCTTCATCCTGTCTTTTCTACATGTAAATTGATTTGCTCCCCTGTACTGCTCTGAGAAGCCCAGCACAGGCGATACAGCACACCTACTCAGCTACAGATTTCCAGTTTTTGTTTCTGTGTATAATAGTTTTGGTATTTTCCTGCAAAATTCTTTTTTTTTTTTTTTTTTTTTTGAGGTGGAGTCTCGCTCTGTAGCCCAGGCTGGAGTGTAGTGGTGCGATCTCGGCTCACTGCAAGCTCCGCCTCCCGGGTTCCCGCCATTCTCCTGCCTCAGCCTCCCAAGTAGCTGGGACTACAGGCGCCCGCCACCACGCCCGGCTAATTTTTTTGTATTTTTAGTAGAGACGGGGTTTCATTGTGTTAGCCAGGATGGTCTCGATCTCCTGACCTCGTGATCCGCCCGTCTCGGCCTCCCAAAGTGCTGGGATTACAGGCTTGAGCCACCGCGCCCGGCCTTTCCTGCAAAATTCTAAAAACACACTTAAAACTTTTCCTTCAGGACTCGCGATTTCAGAAAAATCAAATTTTGGGTTCATTACAAAATCATTCTACTTGTCTCTGCTGCCCAACTCTTATTATCTCATTATTATTTTCAGTTTGTCTAGTGGTTATGTTTGTAACTTTTAAAGTGCTTTCTCAAGCTGTATTTCTGGATCTATCATGTTTACTATGTATCTATGTACTTAATATTCACAAGGTCCCATAACAATTGGAATCCTTACATGTTCCTTATACATCCTACCCCCAAATTCTGTCAACTCTAACTTCTTTTTTTTTTTTTTTTTTTTTTTTGAGACGGAGTCTCGCGCTGTGTCACCCAGACTGGAGTGCAGTGGCGCATCTCGGCTCACTGCAAGCTCGCCTCCCAGGTTCACGCCATTTCTCCTGCCTCAGCTCCGAGTAGCTGGGCTACAGGCGGCCCGCCACCACACCCGGCTAGTTTTTTTTTTTTTTGTATTTTTAGTAGAGATGGGGTTTCACCATGTTAGCCAGGATGGTCTCGATCTCCTGAGTCCTCGTGATCCACCCGCCTCGGCCTCCCAAAGTGCTGGGGATTACAGGCTTGAGCCACCGCGCCCGCGCCTTTTTTTTTTTTTTTTTTTTTTTGAGATGGAGTCTCACTCTCTCATCCTGACTGGAGTGCAGTGGTGTGATCTCAGCTCACTGCAACCTTCACATCCTGGGTTCAAGTGATTCTCCTGCCTCAGCCTCCCAAGTAGCTGGGACTACAGGTGCATGCCACCACTCGCTGCTAATTTTTGTACTTTTTAATAGAGATGAGGTTTTGCTGTGTTGGCCAGGCTGGTCTCAAACTCTTTACCTCAGGTGATCTACCTGCCTCGGTCTCCCGAAGTGCTGGGATTACAGGCATGAACCACCACACCTAGCCAACTCTTAACGTTATTTTTAAACAGCTAATTTTCATAGAGTTTAAATGGTTCTCTGTAATTGTAATTAAGTTGTCCATACTTTGTTTCTATGTTGATTTAATAGAATTTTTGCTATTAAGATTGTGTAAAATTCTTTCTCCATAGATCCAAGACATACATGTGATTGACCACAATGAATAAAAATCACACCTGGGAAGTTCCAAGGTAATATTTTAGGGTATCATTTTTTAAAATAAATACAATTTTTTAAAAATTTTCTTGAGACGGGGTTTCTCTCTGTTGCCCAGGTTGAGTGCAGTGGTGCGATCACAACTCACTGCAGCCTCGACCTCCTGCACTCAAGTGACCCTGCCACCTTGGCCTCCAAAGTGCTGGGATTACATGTGTGAGCCACCATGCCTGGCCATGTATTGTTTTTTAATGTTTATAATCTCTTGTATTCTCAAAGTAGTGCTCATCATAATTAACTTTATACTTAGCCCTTGTTTTATTGCACAGATTTGTTTTTTCAGAATTTGTAATTGTCTTTTTAAATTTGTTATTGATGTAACTAACATACAATTTCTTTTTGAAATTTTTAAAACTTTTTTCTCTTAAAAAATTTTTTTTGTATTCTATTTTCTTTTTTTCTTTTTCTTCAGGGTAACAGTTATTAATAACACACAATTTCACCTTCTCACTAACATTGCTGTTAATAGGTTCTAAAGTTTCTTAATCATTGCATTTCTTCTACTAAATCCACTTTTATTTTTTGGAAAGGGAAAACGCTCTTTCGGGGCTTCTTGAAATTATTTTGTAACTTGAATCAGGTACTACTTATTTCTGCTAAAAATCTGTCATGTTATTTCTGTTTACTGGACTGCTGGACTAGGTCCATAATGATATTCATGACCTTCTCTAAAATAACTACTGCGACTTTAAGTCAGTTTTTAAAGTTCACAGATCATAGTGTATTTGTTTAAGAGCATTGGGAATTATTTATTTCCAAAATTCATCATTGCAGACATTGTGTGGTCAGCAAATGGTCACAAAGAAAGTCCACTGTATATATTCGACCTAGAAGGAAAAACACCGATAGAACAGTGAATTCTTTGGCTTCCTCATCCAGGCCATGCATGTCAGTGCTTCTGTCCCCTTGTTGGTCAGTATCTCAGTGTCTAGGCAGATGAAGTTCTTAGAAGGGTGCGGGTCAGCCAGAGATCACAGATATGCAAAAGTTGGCTTTAAAAAAAATTCAGTGTCCCATAATTGGATTCTCCACTGCTGCAAACTCTGCTGTGTGCCACTGTCTGCCATTTGCCTATGCCTGTCCTAGGCTGCTCTTCTAAATTTCCCTTGACAGTAGCTTTAAGTCCCTGTCTCACTTGACACTGGACTTCCTTGATTTGTGAGTGGAATTTGCAAGTGTAAAGGTGTCCTGTACTGTTTGTTCCTGAGGCATAGTTTCAAGTAAAATGGCAGGCATTTTACAGCCTGCATTAATGGGAAATTACTTTCTATTAGAATTCTGAATAATGTGCACATAATGTTTATAAAGTGAAGGAAAGATGTCAAGCATTTCACTAACAAATGAAAGCAAAGCTCACAAGACTCTGCCAGAAGTGAATTCTAAGAACATCTTCTTCATCATTTCTCCTTTCAGCTCACAAATCTATAGGTTGGTGATTCAGCCTGGGCAACTCTTCAGGTCTCAGCTGGGCTCACTCACGAGACTGGGGAACAGCTGGCTATCAGCTGGTGCCTCCCAGGTCTGGAGGTTGGCTGGGGTGACTTAGTTCTGCTCCACATGTCTCCCTCCATACATAGCCCTGGCATGTTCTCACAGTGAAGACAGAGCTTCCATTGGAGTACTTGTCTCCGGGTACTCTTTTTCCCCAAGCTCCCAACATAGGCTTCTTTAGTGTGTTCCCAAGTCTACTTCACAATTTCTCCAAAAAATTCCAGTCATTTTACATGGAGTACAGAGACGGTCTTGCAGACCCTCTTCTTGGCCATAGGAAGTCACCAAAGTAAGGAAGGGAAGAAGAGGTGAGGAAGGCAACAGGGCCGACTCCTCTTGGTAAAGCACAAACAGTAACTAGAAAGTACCCACCACAGAGAAGGCAGGAGAGCAACTTAAGGGCAAACGCCCCAGGCTCTAGAGAAAAGCAGATGCCGATTCCAGTCCTAGCTTCTCCACTCACCATGGGCAAGTTATTTATCCCCCAGCCTCAGATTCCTTGGAGGTAAAATGGGATAATGACACTAACTACTGCCTTATGGCAGTAGTAGTTTGTGAAGATCGAATACAAACATGGAGCTTGGCATAGCAGCTGTTGCATGTGCACTCATGGAAATGATGGTTTTACTGGGACTTAGGTGGGGGAATACTGTGGGCTTTAAAAGGAATCCCTAGCCTGTGGCGTATACTGCTAGCATTAGGACAAGGACAGAGATAAACATTTCCCTTGACTTCTTTTCACTTTCACAAGTCCACAGGCAACTTGCCCCAGTCTCCTGTCCTGAACACCACTACCCCACCCCAAATCCCGGACCTGGGCACTGTATTATACCCACAGCTGTGGAGCTCTTAGTTCCCCAGGCTGGTTCATACGAGGGGGCACCAGGGACCCGGCCAAGAGGTGCCCCTGCTGGATCAACCATCTGTGGCCCCTGGGCAGTGAGTGCTCTGGAGTCCACTGGTCCTTGCCTGGGGCCTGTGCTGGGAGGCAGAGGTGTTAATAATCCCAGCTGCTGGCCTCGCGGCCAGGGGCAAGGAGCATTCCAGCCAAGTGTCACCATCACCATCGTTCTGAGTGGCCTGGGCCGACCCACAGATGGCCTCTTAGCTCCTCTCTTGGTGCCCTGGGCTCAGGCAGAGAGCATGGTGCCCAAGCACATAGTCTCATAGTGAATTAATGAAACAGCAACAAAGCAGATAAATGGTTTCACTGGTCATTTACATAGGTTCTTTCCAACAGCTTTGGAGAGTGAGGATGTCTTCTCATCCTCATCAGCACAAGATGTCATTCATGTTGGACAGTTTTGACAGTATGTACAACAGGAATGAGTTTAGTGAACAGAGAGATTCCCAGGATAACTAAGATGGATAAAAGAATGAAAAAGACAAAAATGGCAAAGCTCAGATAGTGTACTCCACTTATTTAGGACAGTCACTAAACTAAAAGCAGTTTTCTGTTCTATAGGTGAACTCTGATCCTATGAATAAGGCTGACCACAAGTTCAGTGAGACCCTGGAACCCACTGTTGATTGACTCTTTTACAGTAGATGGCAAGGAGGAAAACATCTATAATTAGAGTCTCAAGGTAATGAGCAATTTAGTCTATGTAACAGAAGAGTGGCCCATTTGGATATATCTGTATTGATGGGACCCATATGACACAATGAGAGTTATCAGGATGAGAAATAACTTTCTAGCTGTAAGGAGCTCCATCTCTGTCTCTCCCTCTGATGTCTGCTTAGGGACCTTGGTGTAGAGGTTCCCGCTGAAGAGTGTACTGGTGATGTGAAGGTGGTCAGGGAGCTGGAGAGTCCTCCTCACCACTTATCCTCTTCAGAATCCACTTACTTTCCCCTGAAGTTGACGATATATTGCCAGCATCTTCTTTTCAGATCTGTAAAATGTGCAGAACGAGGTCATTGTGCACATGATCCTCACGGGAAGCTGAAGCATCATCCTCATCGCTGCTGAAATTCTCCAGAATCCACTCAAGATTCCATGAAGTTGACATATGGGAACCAAAGATTATGTGAAATTGACATATGGGAACCATCTTCTTCCTTATCCATTGATTTGCCAGATGTTATGCTGAGATCTTTCAGGAGCAGCTGAATAGTCTTCATCCTTATAGCTACCTTCATAAATGATGTCCAGAGGAGAATTGTATTCCATGTTCTTGAAGCTGCCTTGGTCTTCCATGGGACCTTCTCCAATGCCCTGTAACAAGGAAGCTGCTTCAGTATGTCCTCGACAGAAAGATTTTCACTTGCTTTTGAGTCCACGTTGACCACAGATGAGACCTCCTTCTCTGACCTCTCACTTGGAAAATCCCCTACCAGGTCTTCGGCAGAAGCTCCAGTGAATTGCTCCCCAGTGTGTACTCTGTTATGTGACCAGATGGTTTTGACCCACTGCTTGGGGCGGGCAGCATATCTTCTGGACCACTGAAGATATGTTTCTCACAGATGCGACTATCTGCGGCTGTTGTCACAGGTAGTAGAGGAATTTACCAAGACAGCTATAGGTAAAGAAAGGCAGGTTTGTTAAAGAAAGTATGAAAATACGTTGCAAGATTACAATGGGCAGCACAGCAGAGAAGGGGCTGTCTGCAAAGAGGCAGGGGCAGAAGGAAAGTTTTATAGGGTTGTACTGGACAGGGTTATGTGCAGAACAAGGTCATTGTGTGGAATGAGGTCATCTCTCAGAACAATTATTTATTCTTCTTCCCCACCTGGAGCCCCTCCCCACCTGAGGCCCCTTCCTCATTTTTGCTTACTTATCAGGAATCCACGTTCCCCCTAAGACAGAACAGCAATGACAAATCTTTGGCATTGGGGTAGAGGTCTCATCTTCCAACTGCTTCCTGCTGACCAGGGGCGTAGAGTTGACCCAACCTATGGTTGTTGGTCTGTCAGGAGACCCTGTGGGCCATTGTCCTGGGTTGTAGGACCTAGGATATTGGATCATGCTGGAGGAAAGCATTCATTGGAGAGGGGGAGCATGTCTAGGCAAAACTGGCCTCCAGCTGAATGGGAGACTCCTAAAGGTAGCAGACATCATTGAGGAGAGACCAATATCCTGTTCATAGCACCATTTGAAGGTGAAACTACTGAATTCTAGAAGATAAAATTTTGTTTCTTGAACCAGTTACCAAAAAGACAAAGAAAAACCCTTTGTAGTGTGACTGTTTTTCCTTATTGGAAGCCCATTTAGATAACCCGGAATTTAGACTTGATGAAAAAGTGTTTGAATTTAATTAGACACAGCATAAGGAGCCAATTTTAGAGAGACTATTCTATCTTAATTACATATAATGTTCCTTTTATGAATTTCACAAATTTTCTCATGATGTACACAGACCATCTGTGATGTGCCCAGACTTTCTGACTTGTCCTGAGCATCCTTGTTTCTTAAACAAGCAGTCATTTTACTTTAGGACAAGAATTTACCATACAAATCCTTTCTCATGTAAAACCTTCATAACCTTCATTACCAAAAATAACTCTTTACCTTTATAACTTTCTTTATGTTTCTCTTATTTCCTGGTTCCATTTTATCTTGTTTTACATATAACAATCAACCTTTGAATTAGACAAAAGTTATTTTTCTTTTTTTAGGAGTTTGTGGTTTATACTATGTGTTTCTGTGTGAGTTCTGTGGAAGGGAAGCAAATGAGGAGGTTATTTACATATTGTAGAAGTTGTTCGGTTAAGAGATTACTCAGTTAGCTTTCTTGCTAGGGCTTGTCTGAATAAGTATGGGCTATTTTAAACCCCTGAGATAAGACTATCTAGGTTGAAGTTATTTGTTAAAAGATTTAGATAGCTTTCCCAGGAGAAATGGGTCTATTAGAGGGAAAGATGAATTCAGAGGTTGGGTAAATATGAAGCAGGCACCCATCTTGGAAAGTATGTTTTTGCCCCAAAGGGGTGTGTGGTATTTAGATATTATTGGGGCATGGAGGGAAAATGGTAATTGAGCCCTTACATAGTATAAAGGAGTGTGAATTTTTCTTTTGGAGGGAGAGGTTGCCACTTTTTCCCATTACCCAACAGGATTTGGAGGAGAGTTGCTTAGAGAAGGAGATTAGTACAAAGTCACTATAAGTCATTTAGCCAAAATAATAAGTCCAAAATTTTTAAAAGGCAAAAATCTTTACTCGCTGATAGAGGGGAGACTCAACTTTCAAAACAGGCTGCAATAAAGACAGCATGAGGACAACTGAATCTGTCTCCTTTTTCTTCCCTCCTTTTTCTGTCATTCATTTAAAAGACAAACAAAATTCTTTCATTTTTGTTTATATTACATGAAAATCTTGTTTAAAAGAGAAAGCCAAATTACATCTTTGTACTAGTATTCTATTAATGTTAAATCCAATTATTATAAAACCTTATAAACAAATCTGTCCAATCTTTATTAGCTTGACCATAAGGTAAGATTTCTATAAGCCTCTTATAACCTTCTATCGTTTTCTGTTAAATGGCAGATTAATTATCTAAGAAAACTATTATTCAGACACACGGGCCCAGATTCTGGACCCACATTAGTGTGCTTTTATTTCAATTTTCAACCCATGGGAAAACTAAATACTTCCCTTCAAGTCTTAGCCAGTTTTTTAATACCCACAGAACTTTTTACAAGATCAGCCCTCCACAACTTACTTTTTAACTTGCTTAAACCTTCAGTTTTATTCCATTACTCCTGTAGGTTAGGCCAATCCTTAAAACCCTCTGAGCAAGACAAAAGTACATTCCCTTTAACAAAAGCCATATTTTCATGCCTTCTTATAACCTCCCACCAAAAACATATTCTACTTTCCTTCTATACTTTGCATGTAAACTGTTTCTCCAGCAGTCTCAAGTACCTGTTACAATGTTAACTCTCAGCAACTGTTATTTTTGGTGAAAAATCTCATGAGTTTTTTTTTTGAGATGGAGTCTAGCTCTGTCGTCCATGGTGGAGTGCAATGGCGTGATCTTGGCTCACTGCAACCTCCGCCTCCCCTGGGTTCAAGCAGTTCTCCTGCCTCGGCACCCCCACCCCCGCCAACCAACAAGTAGCTGGGATTACAGGTGCCTGCCACCATGCTCAGCTAATTTTTGTATTTTTCGTAGAGACAGAGTTTCACTGTGTTGGCCAGGCTGGTCTCGAGCTCCTGACCTCATGATCCACCCGCCTCAGCCTCCCAAAGTGCTGGGATTATAAGCATGAGCCACCATGCTCTGCCCTGATGAGTAATTTTAACCATGTATAAGATTGCAGAGCTCAGGACAGGCTGTAGATTATGTCAGACTCTTCCCAGACTAACCAGGGGACCAGGCTAACTTCATATGTCCCTAGGCCTTATCTGGAATCTAATGGCTATAAAACAAACAAGTCAATTATTAAAAGTCACAGAAGCAGTTTATGGCCTTAAAGCATCTAGTAAACAGTATCTGACTGCCTGATTTTATTTTATCTTATTGTTATTATATTTTTTTTTTTGAGACGGAGTCGTTCGCTCTGTCGGCCCAGGCCCTGGAGTGCGTGGCCCAGATCTCAGGCTCTACGCCCAAAGCTCGCGCTCCCGGGTTCACGCCATTCTCCACGGCCTAGCTCTTCCGAGTAGCTGGGTACTACAGGCGCCCGTCCACCGTCGCCCGGCTAAGTTTTCATATTTTTTTAGTAGAGACGGGGCTTTCACCGTGTCAGCCAGGGCAGTGGGCTCTCTATCTCCGTGAACCTCGCCTGATCCGCTGTCTCGCGCCCCTCCCAAATGCTGCGGGATTACGGCCCCTTGAGCACGCGCCGGCCCGATTTAGTTTAAATGGTGTGACTTGGATGACAATTTTACTTTTTACCGCTCAATCAATTTTTTAAACGTGGTCTTTTTTATTTTTTTTTTTTTTGCCAGGACGGTTGCATGAGTCTCACTCTGTCGCCCAGGCTGGAGGGCAGTGGCCGGATCTCAGCTGACTGCAAGCTCTGCCTCCCGGGTTTACGCCATTCTCCTGCCTCAGCCTCCCGAGTAGCTGGGACTACAGGTGCCCACCACCTCGCCCAGCTAGTTTTTTGTATTTTTTTTAGTAGAAATGGGGTTTTACCGTGTTAGCCAGGATGGTCTCGATCTCCTGACCTCGTGATCCACCCGTCTCGGCCTCCCAAAGTTAAACTGTCTTTTTAAAAGATTATGTCACGTGACCTAAAAGGCATTAAAGTTTTATTTTTCTGACAATATGTTTAAGTGCTTATTTTTCTTTAAGCCAATTAGAGCTCTTTTATATAATCACATATAAATACACAGACAGAAATGGAGAATTAAGACAAAACTCCATCAACTGAGAAGTTTTTAGAGAGAAAGCAGGGGCTTTCTCTCTAAAACCAATATCTGTATACATGCAGACCAAATATAAGCTTTAAGTTGATTTCTAACTACAGAGCTTTTAAAAGAACAATCTTTTAAAAATCTTTTATTGCCAGATTTCAGTCAGGACAAATGGCTAGTATTTCTAGCTTTTGAATATTTTACTAAAGGTAATTTATAACATGATATTAGTAAGCCTTAACCAAGAAGAAGACTTCAACACAGACACATGAGCTGTCTCCAAAGAGATGGTCAGTGATTTACAAGATCTAGAATTGCCCCAAAGGTAATTCAGAGAAAAGAAAATTTCAAGACAGGAAATCAGAAGCTGTTCATGGAGGGGAAAAGAATCAATAAAGGGCAAAAATACCACAAGTATTAAACCACAAAGGACTCACTTTGAAAGACAAGACTTGAACACATTGTGATAGGGCAAAGCTTTAGCCACTGATCTACAGCACAAGGTGACTGCCGTTTTTTCCAGAAGGAGTTTAAAGTGTTTTCAAGCTTGCAAAGGATTTTAACTGCTCAAGATAATTTTCTAAGACTAGCCATGTTGTTATTTTGCATCCTTCTTTCAATTTAACCTTTTTCTTTTATCCGTCTACCCAGTTCCAGTAGTGACCCAATCTAAAAGGCTGTTAACATCCAGATAGTAATTTTCTAGGTTTTTACCATGTAAGCAAAAGGTTATTTCCAGAAAGGGGTAGAGGAGGCGCCTCCATGACAGACAGCTTTTGAACTGAAAAGGGAAATTTATAATTTTATTTGCTGCCTGCGGAGTTGCCCTTGGCTTTGTTTTGTTGGTAATGATGTTTGATTTGGAAGCCAGCTGGAGCGGAGACCCCCACCCCAGCAGAGGGCCATCGGGGGTGTCGGATGGGATTCTGTCCTGGGGGCCCTTCAAGCAGTCCCATTTCCATGGCCAAGCTTGTGGCTGAGGGGGCAAACTGTGTAAGGCTTTTCCCCATTTGTCCCATTGGGACAGTTTGCCTTTCAGTGGCCTGGCCTTCTGCACTGATGGCAGTTACCTGGAGGATATTCTGAGGGCAACCTAGACAGGGCTGGGGGCTCATAAAGCAGCCAGCAGTTGAGCCTGCCTTTTGTCCTTGTGTTTTCTGTGTTTTTCTTTCCCCTTAGCTCTGTCCTTTTTATTCTGCTCTCAGTTATAAAAGACTGAGGAGGCTAATTTGAGAATTTCCTGCATAGGGGCCATGCTATTAATGTATTACACAAGAAAATTAGATGTGCCCTGTTTTCTCTGCACCTCTGAGCTCACTGTCTGTTCGATTTTTTTAAGTTTTAATTTCCAAGACTTGAACTCGCTGCCATGTCCACTGAAGAAGGGTTCAACTTTAACACTGATGAGCAGGTGCTGGAAGGCCACTTCAGCACCTTCGGGCCTATCTCTGTGGTGGTTGTCAAGGAAACTCAGCGGTCCAGGGTTTTGGTTTCGTCACCATCACCAACCCAGAGCATGCCTCAGATGCCATGAGAGCCATGAACGGAGAGTCCCTGTATGGTCACCAGATCCGCGTGGATCATGCAGGCAAGTCTGCTGGGGAACCAGAGGAGGTGCTTTTGGGACCCATGGGCATGGTCGCAGCTACTCTAGAAGTGGTGGGAACCAGGACTATGGGAGTGGCAGGTGTGACAGTTGACCTGGAGGATATAGATACGGATATGGACAGTCCAGACACTATAATGTCAGAAACCAGGGTGGTTATGAACGCTACTCAGAAGGAATTACAGAGGCAGTTATGACTACTGAAATGATACATGTGCACATAATATACACAAGGAATAGCTCTTCTGATCCAGGATCATCCTTCCAAAAGGCTGTATTTATAAAGGTTTTTGGAGCTGCATGGAAACATTTTATTTTATAGTATATCAACCTCTTGTTTTTAAATTGAGCTCCCAAGGTAGCTAAAGACCTTTTAGACAGCTCCATCTTTGTTTAAATTTTTTCCTCCCATTTGAAGCCAAATTATAAAACATTTGCAGGGTCTGAGTATTTTTCTTTTTACCAGTTTTTTAGTTTGAGCTCTCTGGATTATTGGATCTAGCAATAACTGGTCCTGGCATTTGACTAGACTGGTTTTTGAAAATTAATGTGTATCCAGGGACATTTTAAAAACCTGTACACAGTATTTATTGTGGTTAGGAAGCAATTTCCAAATGTACTTATAAGAAATCTGCATCAAGAACATGATTATCTAGGGATTTTCTTTAATTCAGATCACCAAACTGACTATATAGAAGAGTTGCTTTAAAATGTTTGCAAATGTCTTTTTTTTTAATACCAGAAGAAAAAAATGTTGTTTGTCTTATATACTGCTTAGGATGTCCTTCACAGAGCTTATTAAAAAGATGAAACTGAAAAAAAAAAAATTAGATGTTTCTTTTTGAGAATCTGAGCGTTAAATTTGTCGTAATGTTTTAGGATGTAGCCCAGAGGTGAGTCTGAAGAAATAGATGGGGTTTGTCCCATGTTGGGACTAGAAAATGATGAGCTGCTGGGGGGTAATGTCTGCTGAGAACATGAACCACACTTTCTTTAGGGGCATCCTGCTGAGGAAAAGGGTTCTGCTCACATCACAAAGGGATACAAGTGCACTTTCTAAAGGGGCGTTCCACCCCCATTAGAATGGACCTTTCAGTGCTGGCGCCTTAAGTTGGGTGATCAGCCCAGGTATGAGGAAAAAGGGTAAAGAGAGAGACAGAGTGCTGCCAGCCCTGGAGAAGGGACAGGAATGGGGACACTCACTGCTCTGAGGCCGCTTGAGATCACCTGATTTGGGAGCATCCAGAGCAGGATGTCTGGCTGTCTTCATGGGAGAATTTAGAGTGAGAAAGAGGGAATCTGAGTTCCTCAAAACCTGTGTGCCAATTGTGCCACACAAAGGGATTGGGGACTTTTAACCAGAAAGGATAGGAGAGGGTCTTCCTCCCTTCTGGGCAAGGCAGTCAAAGTTGTTCACCCTCTGGCCTTCAGGCTACACCAAGGTGTGGGCCTGGCCAGTTGTGATCAATTGCCAGAGGGATGCTAGAGTTCGTCTGCTGGAAGACAGGAAAGGAAAGCAAACTCTGAACTCTCACCTAATCAGGCAGTGGTGGTCAGACATCTTTTCACAGGGACCTTCTGGTCTGCTGAGGAGTGGCCCCGGCTGGGGACCTTCAGCTGTCTCTGTGCTTGGATGCTGTCACCAAGAGGTTGGAGTTGGAGGACAGGAAAGGGAGAGAGTAGGGGAAGAGGTCCCCGAACAGTCCCTGTACGGGCCACCAAAACATCACAGATGTGACTGTCTGGGGCCGGGCTGGTGTTGCAGGTGGTAAAGGAATTTACCAAGATAGTTGTAGGTAAAGAAAGGCAGATTTATTAGAGAAAATATGAAAATACATTGCAAGATTGCAACAGGCAGCACAGCAGAGAAGGGGCTGCCTGCAAAAAGCCAGGGGCTGGAGGGAAGTTTTATAGGGTTGTGCTAGAGGGGGCTGCATGCAGAGGTCATCTCTCAGAACAGTTGTTCATTGTTCTCCACCTGGGGCCCTTCCCCACCTGAGGCCCCTTCTTTATTGTCGCTTACTTATCAGGACTCCACAACATTCTCATATTCTTGAGGCAAGATTCTGTCCATGAAGAGAGGAAGGGATAAAGAAAATGCAGTATATATACACAATGGAATGCTCTTCAGCCTTAAAAATTCATGAAATCATGTCATTACAGCAACATGTATGGATGAGGTAGGAAAAATGCCCCAGAGAATCCACACCAAAGTTTCCTCCTCAGCAGCTGTGCCCACAGACAGAAGCTGTTTCTTCCCCGGGATGGTGCCCCAGGTCCTCCTGAAGCTGCCATGGTGCCCCCTCAGGAGGGTTCTGAAGGAACTGGAGCTCTTCTCCTCACAGGCCGAGTAGTATTTCTTTGTATATAAGCACCACATTGTCTTTATCCATTCATCTGTCAATAGACACTTAGGCTACTTCTATACGCTGTTGTGAATAATGCTGCAATAAACATGGGAGCACAGATGTCTCTTCCACATACTGATTTCATTTCATTTGGATAGATACCCAGTAGTGGAATGGTGGCAACATGGATGAACCTGGAGGACACTATGCTAAGTGGAATAAGCAAGACACAGAAAGACAAACATGATTTCAATCATGTATGGAATCTAAAAAAGTTTATCTCACAGAAGTAGAGAATAGAGTAGTTGTTACCAGAGGCTGTGGAGGGGAAAGGGAATGGGGGCATAGGAAGCAATTGGTCAAAAAGTACAAAGCGACTGTTAGAAGAAGTTCTGGTGTTCTAGTCACAGTAGGGTAACAATGGTTAACAATATTGTATATTTCAAAAAAGCTAGAAGAGAGGATTTTGAATGTTCTCACCAGAAAGAAATGATAAACGTGGCCGGGCATGGTGGCTCACGCCTGTAATCCTAGCACTTTGGGAGGCTGAGGAGTGTGTATCAACTGAAGTCAGGAGTTCCAGATCAGCCTGGCCAACATGGCAAAACCCCAGCTCTACTAAAAATACAAAATTAGCTGGGCATGGTGGCAGGCACCTATAATCCTACATGGTGGCAGGTGCCTGTAAGCTACTTGGGAGGCTGAGGCAGGAGAATCGCTTGAACCCGGCAGGCAGAGGTTGCAGTAAGCTGAGATTGCACCGTTGCACTCCAGCCTGAGAGACCGAGCAAGACTTCATCTAAAAAAAAAAAAAAAAAAGAAAGGCCAGCAAAGTCAAGAGTCAAAGGAGCAGTGTTGAAGTTGGGAGCTTTAAGAAAAAGGAGTTTTGGAACAGTTATCTTAGCAGATAAGTATGCATGGCAAATGGTAAACAAGTGAGTGGCTGAGCAGCTGTGAGGATTCAGGCTAGAATAGTGATTTTTAACTACTCCTTTAAATCAAGGACTGTCCTGCATGATACTTTGTCCTGCATGATACTTTGTGTAGAACAAACACACACTAAATATTGTTGAATTGATTCTAATTTTTTAAAGTTTTCTTTTGAATGAGAGGAAAAGACAAGAGAAAAAAAGAAAACAAGGAAAGTGAAAGCAAGAGAGTGTTTCAGCTTTCCCAGGGCATGGGAATCTCAGAAGCGCTTTGCTTCAGCTTTCCCAGGGCATGGGAATCTCAGAAGTGCTTTGCTTGCTTAATGACCTTTACCAAGTCACCTTTTCAATACTGGGTTCATTTCCTAGGCAGCAAAACAGGGGAAATAATCTCTGCCTCCTTTTTGTCTTCCAAGAACATCATAAGCTCTTAGTAAAATAATATTTGTATACTCTTTTGGTTGCCTTATAGAAAAGAGAATATTTAATTTCCTGATTTTTATAGATTTGCTTCTCTTTTCTGGGCTGTTTATTATTATAGATTGGTTAGCAAGAGTTTGGCCTGTTGATATTGATTTTAAGACAATAGAAGGGGAAATAAGAATATGAGCAATGAAAATTTGTGACAAAAATAAAATGGAGAAATGAAATGAAAGGAGAGGATGTTTGATTACTTTCAACCTTACCAGTCAATATCATTGTCTTTAAGTATCTCTTGGAGTTTCATGCAATTATTCTATCTCATCAGTACACTTGAAGTTGCATTTTAATTTCATGATCGATTTCCAGGAGACAGTTTCTCTTTGTATTTTACTCATAAAGTATAAATAAGCAAAATGATTATTTTTAAAAGTTAACCAGACAATAGCTTTCTAAATATCATCCATGGTTTGCCAAGTCACCTATCCAAGTTTCCCTATGCTGAGGTAGATCACGTGTCTGTTTTTGATCATTAATAATAAGCCACCCCTTTTCTCTTCAACCAAGGTTGGAGGCCAAGATCAGCCCTCAGGGATCATCATCAGGACTGCCATGAGCTGAGCCGCCTTGTTTTCCTGCCGCAAACATGTGAAAAGAAAGAAAAAAGAAATAATAATAATAATAATGATAATAAAGCAGTTTTCCTTCTGGCTCTGGGTTTGTTGTTATTTTGTGTAAGACCAACCCCTCCCCGCTTTTAAAGGGAATTATTTAACCAAAAAACTCCCTAGCATCTTTTCTGTGACTCTGAATTCATAATGTTGGTTATAATGTATGCTTTAATGTTAGGCAGGTCCAAGTCTGAAATATGGATTATAAAATCAACTGTAGAAAATCTGGCCGCAGGCCCAGGGATAGCCACTGTATTAGTCTGTTCTCACATTGCTATAAAGAACTACCTGAGACATCCCAGCACTTTGGGAGGCCGAGACGGGCGGATCACGAGGTCAGGAGATTGAGACCATCCTGGCTAACACGGTGAAACCCTGTCTCTATTAAGAAATACAAAAAACTCGCCGGGCGAGGTGGCGGGCGCCTGTAGTCCCAGCTACTCGGGAGGCTGAGGCCGGAGAATGGCGTGAACTCGGGAGGCGGAACTTGCAGTGAGCTGAGATCCGGCCACTGCACTCCAGCCTGGGCGACAGAGCGAGAAAAAAAAAAAGAACTACCTGAGACTGAGTAATTTATAAAGAAAAGAGGTTTAATTGGCTCATGGTTCCACAGGCTGTACAGAAAGCATGGCTGGAAGGTCTCAGGAAATTTACAATCATGGCAGAAGGGCAAAGGGAAAGCAAGCATGTCTTCAGGAGGAAAAGAATGAAGCGGGGAGTGCCACACACTTTTAAACCATTGGATCCTGTGAGAACCCACTGCCATGAGAACACCAAGGGGAAAATCTGCTCTTAAGATCCAGTCACCTCCCACGAGGTCCCTCCCCCAGCACTGGGAATTACATTTCAACATGGGATTTGGAAGGGACACAGAGCCAAACTGTATCAGCCACCCTTATGCAGTAATTTTAAAGAAAGCTTTTTGGCAATTGCTGTGCCATCATTTTTTCCCTAATCCTTTATAAATAGAGCAACAGCTAGTTGTCCAACTATTTTTTAAATGTCATGATAGAAAATTTTAAAAATGTACTTGAGTTTAGAATCATTTTGACAATTTTGGGTGGGGGGCACGGGGAGACTGGATCTTACTCCATCACCTAGGTTGGAGTGCAGTGGCGTGATCATGGCTCACTGTAGCCTCGGACCCCTGGGCTCAAGGCATCCTCCCATCTCAGCCTCCTGAGCAGCTGGGACTACAGGCATGTGCTTCTTGAAGAATTGCTCCTGACAGAGAACTTTATGTTTTGGTACCTATTAACTGCAATGTAGTACTAGGAGGATACTCTTGAATATAAATGTCAGAGTTTACATTTTTGAAGTTTTATTTTTTAAAATGGGTGCACAAGTTTTTTGAGTCTGCATTAGATTTCAGGGTTCCGGCCTGACACAGGGCTCCAGAGGTGCAGCTGAGTCAGCGTCAGCATCCATGTGCATAGCAACATTTCCCCATCTGCTCTGTGGTTGCTGTTGCCATATGCCCTTGATTTTTCTGGCTTCTCTTAATTTTAGTTATTGTAAATTTTTTGGTTCTATAATTTACATTGAAAAATAGATTATAATTCTCTGGTGAATTTCTATATCTTTTTGTCTATTTTCTTGAACATTTCAGTCAGTCCTTGTTTGCTAATCTAATACACGGATTACCTATGGGTTACTTTCTGTTGTCTATTTTTTCTTGACTTTTGATCGTACGACTCTGTCTTTTAGCATGCCTAATAAGTTTGGATATTTCTTCAGTATTAAATACTGAATATAAAATATTGAGTATAAAATAATTCAGCATTAGTTTGAGTATTTGGCATTGCAGTTTTCCTTTATTAGAGTTAAGAATGTTTTTATGTTTTCAATTTTTACTCTTTTATAAGCAAGGAGATTCTACATCCTCTGCTGACATTCATTTGAAACATTAAAACAAAATCCATGAAAAGTTGGTCTCGGAGTCAGAGTTATACTTCACTGAATTAAAATGACATCACAAATCACAAGGGCTCCATTAGAGTTCCTTGCCTGAGGTGCTGTAGTCATAAGTGGTATATAAGCAGTTGTTTAGAAGGAATGGAATCGTGTCAGCAAAATACCTTAAAGAGATACATTTCAGATTTTCTTCACATGATGAAAAATTGAAGTGAAACAATAAGTCTTTTGCTAACAAAATTAAAAAAAAAAAAACATAGTCAAATTATCCCTAAGAACCAAACTGGCCTTTCTAATTTATTCTTTACATGATTACAGAGTCAAAGTAGAACCCAAAGTATGAGAATATAATGTCTTATGATCATGAAGAATCATTCATGGAACCTCTGTTGTGTGAGAGGAATTGTGTAATGTGATGGGTCCTCAGATATTTTGTTGTTGTTGTTTTGAGATGGAGTCTTGTTCTGTTGCCCAGGCTGGAGTGCAGTGGCATGATCTTGGCTCACTGCAACCTCTGCCTTCCAGGTTCAAGTGATTCTGTTGCCTCAGTCTCTCAAGTAGCTGGGACTACAGACATGAACTATCACACCCAGCTAATTTTTGTATTTTAAGTAGAGATGGGGTTTCACTATGTTGGCCTGGCTGGCCTCAAACTCCTGATCTCAAGTGATCTGCCTGCCTCAGCCTCCCAAAGTGTTAGGATTACACCATGCCCAGCCAGGTCCTCAGGTTATTTAAAGGTGTATGTCTACTGTCTGAACCCTGAAGCCTGGGTGGTGAGCTACGGCTATGGTGCCCAGCCAAGAAGCAGGTGTCCCTGAGAACCTACCAAGAAAAAGTTTCATTGCTCAAATGCAGTAGGCAAAGAGCCAGAAAATTAGCTTAGAAGGAGCTTAAAGACAGGTGGTAGTTGCAAACCTCTAGAGCTCTCCTGCGGCCGTCCAGGAGTGCCCTGCATGTAAGTCTTAATAAACTCATCTACTTGTCGAGCTGGACGTCTGAGTCATTCTTTGTTCTTTCAGCACCCTCCTAATTTGAATGGGGAGCAGGGTGGCGGGACTTATAGTCTCAAGTTTTTCTCATAACAAGCTCTGTGCATAATTAACACATAAATGTACCAAGAACCCTTTTGGCATTCTGGTGAAGTTAATGGACCACTTAGAATGTTTCCAGATATATCAAAATAAAATACACAGAATTACAGAGTAACCCTGTGATATTGAAATAATGTTATCACACATTTTAAAGGTAAAATTTGTGAAATATTAATATCTATGCTTTTTAACTTATTAAATAACAAAATCTAATGGCAGGCCTAACTTTTGTCATAATTTTGAATTAATAATGAGCATAAACTATTTCAAGACAGTTATGATTGTAACATAGGACAATCTTAGTGATTTGGTAACAAAATCACAGGTACAGCTAGTACTACTGAGGGTTTTGATTTTTTGAGGGGGGCAACATTTATAATAAAAGAAATGCTGACTTTCTTTTAGAGGTCAATGGAAATAAAGATGTCATTTGTTCCCCATCCAAGTTCACAGACCTTCTGAATTCTCTCCATGGTTCCTCAAGCCTCCCTAGGTTTGGAACTCCTACTTTAAATATTTCATCCTTTTCCACAAAGTGTGGACAACTTTGAGAATACTGGGAGGTTCTGAGCAAAGAACAATGACTTCCTCACCTGTAGGGCCCAGGCGTGAAAGATCTCACTTGTTGGCAGGGTTGCACTTCCTGACCAGAATGCAGGTGCTCTGCTTGCTAGTCTGCATATAGCCCTGCCTTGCCCAGTACCCTTGTACCATTGAGAAGCTTGGAGTTGGACTGACAATCAAAAATCATCTGGTACAATCGACATATCCTTCCATGAAAAAAATGGTTGAGTTTTTACCAGGAGGCAGGCCCTGAGCTATACATGTAACCGCACCTGACTGTCACAGTAACTCCGTGAGGTAGAAGTTATTCTTCCCAGTTTACATAGACTCATTTGTTCATTCAGAAAGAAAAATATATTAGTTATCTGTTGTGTATCCATTACTAAGGTAGGTGTGTGGTTTAAAATTCAGACATAGGCCAGTCACGATGGCTCACGCCTGTAATTCTAGCGCTTTGAGAGGCTGAGGTGGGCAGATTGCTTGAGCCCAAGAGTTCGAGACCAGCGTGGGCAACATGGTGAAACCCCATCTTTCAAAAAAAAAAAAAAAAATCCCTAAAACCACAAAAATCAGCCAGGCATGGTGGCAAGCGTCTGTAGTCCTGGCTACTCAGCAGGCTGCGGTAGAAGGATCACCGGAGCCTGGGAGGTCAAGGTTACAAGTGAACTGAGACCACACCACTGCACTCAAGCCTGGCTGATAGAGTGACAGCCTATTTCAATAATAATAATAATAATAATAAAATAATAATAAGAAGAATAAAGAATAAAATACAGACATAGTTGCTGTCCTAATAGACTTTATATTCTAGTAGGAAAGACAGACAAAAATATATAAATTATCTAATTACAAATTGTGATAAGTCTTTTAAAAAGAACAAACAAGCTGTTGAGACTGAGACTCATGGGGGACCTACTTAAAGGAATAGGATTGTGAAGGGAGATATCTCTGAGGAAGTAACATTTACGCTGAAAGTAGAAGTATGAAAAGAAACCAATCATGCAAAAAGCAAGAGTGTCCCAGGCAGAAAGGACAGCAAGAGCGAAGGCTGTTAGGCAGGAAAGATTTTGGCATTTTAAAAAAGTATTATTTTTAAAAGTGTGGTAAAAAACATCACAAACAATTTACCATCTTAAGCCAGGCACAGTGGCACACACCTGTAATCCCAGCACTTTGGGAGGCAGAGGAGAGATGATCACTTGAGGCCAGGAGTTCGAGACCACACTGGCCAACACGGTGAAACCCCATCTCTAGCAAAACAATACAAAAAATTAGCTGGGTGTGGTGGCACACTCCTGTAATCCCAGCTACTTGGGAGGCTGAAGCACAAGAATCTCTTGAACCCAGGAGGTGGAGGTTTCGGTGAGCCAAGATTGCACCACTGCACTCCAGCCTGGGCAACAGATTGAGACTTCATCTCAAACAAAACAAAACCCAATTTAACATCTTAACCATTTCTAAGTGTAC